TGCATGACATAAGCTCAAGATATCAGAACAATTCTCGCTTCCTTCGCCGCAAATGTTAACGCCCCTCGCGATTCTTGCCACGTGTACATTACTGTCAAGTAAGCACAAAGTATAAATCGGCTGCGACGTTGACAAATGTGTTTAACTAGCCCAATGAGCTTTACAGCTTGCTTGGGCGGACAAAAGCTTTCGAAATACGCGCAGCATAAATACCGAAAGGAGGACAGCGGAGAACTTTCGGAGCACAGAGATGGAGGAGGAGAGGAAGAGCTTAAGACTCTCTCTCTCGCTGGAAGAGCACCGGGGCGAGTTTCAAGTTTTAATACTGTACAAACACACGTACAACAGCGAATCTCGGGGTATCGGTGGAGAACGGCCGTTCTCCGCGACGAATCCTCGAGGTTTTCCCCCGGGCGGCGGCACGGCGACAACAACTTAAGCATCGAAACTGCCGTTCTCCTTCTTTCGAACACCCGCTACCACCGTCGCATTGTCGTTACTCGCCCTCGGCCCTGGAAAAGTTCCTCGGGCCGAGGAACGACTTATAAACCGGCGCCGATACTCGCGTTATGGCGAATTGCGCGATTCAAATGGTGCTCAGTGAGAGGAGTTCGGAAGTACTTAAAGAGAGTCGAAAGTTACGACGGCCAATTGATAGGGAAGAAAAAGCCTTCTTTTGTATGCTTTAATCGGAGAGGAGAAAACATTTTAAAAGTTGATACACAATCCAACCTACAAAGTGAAATTAAATCTAACAATAAAATAAAAAAAAATCGAATTCCAGCAGAAATTCTATCGAATAAAAATTTCGCCAAGTAATCAAACGAAAAATACATATCGGATACTCTCTTCAAGAGTATATTAAATTTCAGTATTCTTTTCATGCATCAAAGAATCATGAAATTACAAGAAGAGAATGTATTTTCGGAATATAAATCAGATATGACATTAAATTAGCTTTCAGAGTGTCATACTATCATTATGAACATTAAGAAATCGCGATCCTTCGACAAATATTAAATCTTAAATTTACGAATTCTCAAGATGAGAGATAAATCTTGTAATTTCTCATTAAAATCCGTGAATGCGGCGAGAATGCGGGCTGGTCTACCATTTTCTCGACGCGATCGTTGCCTCGTGAACAGCGATCATTCGTCTTCGCGGTTAAAGCAAGACCGAGAAGACGACGCGGATTCGTCGGGTCGTCGAAAAAGAGAGCCATAAGCGTCGTCCGAAAGAAGAAAAGTTCACCGAGCTCGCTCGCTCGTTCGTTCTGCTCGTCTCTCGGTTCCCGGGCCGAGTCCATAAATTCTAGCAATTTCAGGAGTGCTCCGGCCTTCGCGGCGGTGGCGGGAATAATAACGTGACGACGGAGGGCCCAATTGTCCCCTAATGCCGCGAAGTTTCCATTCAGAGTGTCTTTTTGTGCGTTACCCGGGGGCGGCGAGAGCGAGAGTCGTATCTTGCCGCGGCGGCGGCGACGGCGGTCGAGAAGCCGACCTCGCAATTCAGCTGCAGAGCAACGTGGGAGGATTGCCAACTCCGCCATATGATAATGGACTCGCGATGGAATGCCTGCTCGGATGTTACGTATACTGTCTACGTATTAGATGTACGTGTAATTCGCCTGCCGCGACGGCTGGAATTGATCCCGCTATCATATTAAGCAAGAAAGTATAATAGCATTTTATTTTCCTGCAATTCAGTTGGATTGATAGAATATGATCCACTATATGTAAAACGTGCGATATTTATTATGCGAATGGTTTTATTTGCATGTGTAAAGCACATTTTAAAGCGTTTTACGTGTTTTACGTATATTTAATGAAAATTTTATCTTGTATGCATCATTGCCGGCTTGTTTAAAAAAGGAAAAATATTTATATTTAATTCTTATATTATTAGTATTGTATCTCTAGCATTTTATTAAAGTTATTAATTATAATATTTAAACGGTATTTGGTTAAAATAACCATTGCCTTGATTTAAATATTACTGCTTCCGTGATAGCAGAGTTGTAATAATAATAAATAATCATGTTTGGCTGTAATTAATTAATTTGTGTATTCCTATTGCTGAATTCGTAATAGCATAATGATCGAATGAGTAAAAATGTGCTTGTGGCATTACTAACGGCGCAGAATTCGAGTGAATTTGACAAGGCAATTAAAATTCTATTAACCCATTACAGATTACTATTTAAATATACATAAAAAATAGACATGATAAAATTAATATTGCTAATAAATTTTTAAACACCTCGTATTTATTGTATGAGTATTTAGTGGTGCGGGACAACAATTATTGGAAATTAGATTGCAATTTTCAATTAAATACGTATTTATTGTTTTTATATGGAAATGTAAAAATTATAAATATCTTAATTTCACGTTAACTGTTGGCGATAGCCATCTTATATTTTACTTATTTTCATCGCGTCCAATTACAACGTAATTGTGTCTCTTTATTCGGGGAATTAATGAGGATTATTAACACGCCGGCGTTTCGAAATTAATTCCCGGCCAAATCACGTATATTTGGTGTGCGTCTCCGTAAGACACTTAATTAGGAAAGCGTTAGCTGTGCAGGACGGCGATGGCGTCGTGATTGTTAGCCGGCCAATAAAGTCGCGCGATCTCTTCCGGGCTGACAGCGGCCAACAATAGGAGGATCCCGCGGGCGCCGATCGAGCCCGGAATAATGTATTTGATTTTGGTTTTCAAAGGCCGGGCGCGCGCACACAAACGAACCGCCTGCATCGCCCTTCGAACCGCGTAAACGGGGCCACGTGTCTAGTTTAAACAGAGAGAACGCGACATCGAGCCGCGCTGTTCGGATTCGAGCCCCGTCGATCCCGAAGCCGAGAGTGCGCCGAACCGTAAGGTATTGTCGTCGGCTTCGGAGGGTTGGCGGTGTTCGCCCCTCTGGCTCGTTGCCTTCCCTAAACCCTCGGCCGACATCCCATGCCGAGCGGAGGGGCCGCGGATTATTTCGCCCAGTTTTCGAGCGGCCCATTAAAAGCCGGCTTGTTGGGGCGATAAACGCTGATTCGGCCCGAGAGTCCGATTCTCCCCTTCCTGACTCTCTCTTTCTTTTCCTCCCCCCCCCTCTCTCTCTCTCTTTCTCTTGTCACTCTTGTTCGCTCGTCCTACGATCCGTGTCCTTCTCATTGACTTGCTCGCGAAAATCTTCTCGATGAGAGATTTTTCCTCCCAGGAACCAGTAAATGCGATCGATGCTGGATATAAGTGGTTTTGTTTGACGATTGTTGGATTAAGAGGGATTTGGTAGAAAATATAAGCCTCTATATTTTGATTTAGAGGAATAATTTTAGAAAATTTAATTTTAAAGGAATAATCTATAAGGAGAATATTTTTTGGAGTGTTACTGTATATATGGAAATATATAATAATGTTCTTTTTAACAATTGACTATTCGAGGCGTGTGCTTAACACAATTACTGATCAGATATTTTAAATAGTTTACGAAGCTATTCATTACTTGCTCATATTGTGAAGATCTAATGTACATTTCTCTCTAAATTGTATCTATAATAGATTCATCATCGGTGGCGAGGCAATCACTTTGGCACATCTTTCGTTCGCCGTAATTGACGATCGTTCTCGCTTTCAACAACGTCCGCGCGAGTTCGTTCCCTTAGTTTATCGAGTATTTTTATCTTTCCGCTTCCGTCGAATCGAACCTCCGGGCGAACTCCGGTGATATACCGACATCGTCGGTTCCAACTTCGGAAAACAAATACTGTGAAAAGGAGCGACGTTAGGGTGGGAGGCTCACAAACGGCCACGAGAATTTATTTCGACCATCCAATTGTATTTTCCTAAGTGGAGGATCGCGCGCCGCCGATAGCTCATCCAGCGGCTCCTCTTATCTCCGGTTAACCGGGTGATGGATGTCGATCTTCTCTCCTACAATTTCCGCTCCTATTTCTCGAAGCTCCCTCCCACCTCCTCCTCCCCGCGAAGAGGAACGCACCCGTAAGAACTGTGCAAGGAGCGACGGCGAATAAATCTACCGCGGGCGATCCCGCGAAAGTCCGTCTTCGCCGCCCTCTACGCAGATCAGGAGGGATACATGTGAAAGGTGGAAGCGAATGGAAAAGGCATCCCTCTCTGAATCACCTTGGAATATTCGCGAATAGAAGCTCCTTTCCAGGATTCTGCACTGCGAGATCAATGCCGCCGGAGTGTTGGCAATGCCACCAACAGGACCTTTTTATAAATCGCTGTTATTGATATTTGATTACCTTGGCATCTCGGAATTTCATCAGTTTAGAAGTTTCGATACTTGCGAGTCTCAGAAATTATGCTACGTCAATATCTTAGAAGTTTTGGAATATCGGAAATTCGTTATCATACTAAGCTTACGTCGTGTCAAGATTTTTATATATTTTAGTGCAACTATACCGTAAAACTTAAACATTTTTACATGATTTTTAATAAATTGACATGTTTTTCTTTTTATAAAGCTTGTTATGTTAGTCATGTTTTGAATTAATGGAAGCTCACTATATTCATCTTTTTATTTTATATATTACAGTTGAATTGCTGAAATAATTTATCATTTTTTAAAATTTTAATGCAATTTCAGTTTATCTACATATTAAACTCAAGCTATTAATAAAATTTATAACACTGTAAATACCTGTGTACGTATATATAATATACAATACCGGCGTATTGAAATATTTTTACTGCATTTCCCGACATGCCGGATTGGGATCTCTCGAAGTTCGCTTACAGTGCATATTATGCGGATTTCAATATGTTTGTATCTCGTTATTGCGAGATCTCTCTCGTTCTTGCAGTTCAATAAATACTATTATTCCGTTAATTATTCTATTTTCTCGTTTTTCGATACCCACTCGTATTTCAATGCGCCGGTACATTTTTTTCCACACGACTTCAACACTCGCTCTCATTTACATGCACCGACGTTGCCTGCCTGCTTTGTTATTTCGCGATTGTTTTCGCAAAATCTAACCGATGGCGCAAGGAACTTCAGGAGGAACGGAAAACAGTTCTAAGTAGAATGAATGTCAGAATTATCGGAGAGGAGCCAAGTATAATCCTCCTTGGCCACCGCGATAAGCTTGACAAGGGGGAGTTTCGGAACTATCATTCTAAACCAGGTCATGATAGCAGTCTATTACCGCGCAGCTGAGACAGTTCTGGCATACTCTAGTTGTTTGCTACTATAAAGCCGCCATCCGCTATGAATACAGCAGTCGACTGCCACGCAGATGCGGATAATACATCATGGATATTTGCGCCATAATTTTTCCGGGAGTTTGCAACAAACATACATCTCGCCCGCCGCGTCAGGCGATTTAAAATATTAAAGGTTATAATATTGTAAACGGTCATATCTTGTGAATGAAAAATAAGATACGAAAGTCTCGAGTATATTTCCGAGCGCTCTACTTAATCTAAAAATATATTTTTCTTAGAAAATTGGCAGTCAATGAGTTAATGTCCCTACAAAAGATAGAAAGTAAAATGAAATTAAAAGAAATTTGATATTTATTCGGAATTTATTTTCTCACAATTTGTATATAAATTTCTTTTTCTCTTCAAAATATGAATATTATTCTTCATCTTTTCACATTTCAAATTCATTGGAGGCAAAGAACAAATACAAGGAGCTATAAGCATTAACATCAATTTTTCATTTCAATTTAATTTCATATACAATTTCTATCCGCTCTATATTCAATTCGAAATTTATTTCAAGAAATATAAGAAAAAATTTTTAAACAAATTGTTAAATGCCAAAAGACTTTTAATATACATATGTTCCTTTGTTAATAAAACGTCTCATATATATTTTTCTTTATTATGTATTATATTACGTAGCCTAAAACTAGACAGAGGTTGAATTGTTCGCGTATCGTATGAAACGCATGAGCGAAAGTAAAAAGCTGATTTATGCCATAACTCGGTTATATTTACTCATGTAGGATCACGGATATTGCAAGGAAAGGATCCCTTTCGATGCCCTTCTGGATCAGCGCGGTAGATAGAGGAGGTTCTCCCAATGGGCCTTCAGAAGAATTCCTGAAAAGGGGGCTTGCTGTCGATACTGTGCATCGCGGCCCTTCTTTCTATTCCCTATTCTGCCTCACAGTCAGCGAGGGATAGCGAGGAGCGTATTGAAAACGCTGATAACCCGGCGATCTTGTGATGTAGAGATAGACAGCCATCACTATTTCATTATTCTATAATATTGTATTGCCGAGCCCAATTAATACGTTCCAACTTTATACGTTGGAACTTTATATAGAAAACAATTATAACCACAGTTTATAACAAAAAAAAATATTAAAGATTTATATAAAAACTTCTTGTTAATGTAAATAGATATTATTTACAATACCTCTAAAAATTTTTGCTTGTTTTATTTGAAAAATAAATAACATTTATATTGGTATAAAAATAGATATATTTTGCAATAAAATATTTGCAATGTCAAATTCGTTGTTATAAAATTGAATAATGTTTTTACTTGTATAAACAAATTTTGAAAGGCATGACGAATAGTATTTGCATAACCATTACAATGTTTTCTTAACGAAGTATTAGCCTTATTTCCGGCATATATGATATCGATAACCTATTTTACTACCAAATAGTTATATATTTCAGTCGTCACCTAAAACAATAAAGCAACTGTTGGTACGTTAAATTAACGCTATAGCAGACGAATCCGACATGTATTTGACACTGATTGGCGTGTCTGTAATTGAGCAGAGAAGAAAGGACGAGGATGGGACTTCTTAACGATTCGTCACACCGTTCTCCAGGGGCGTAAAAGGGGCCATGCGTTCCGGTACACGCTCAGCAAATCCCCGCGCTAGGGTTGCACTTGATCAAGCGGATCCTTAGGGAGTATCGACTGCCTAACAAAGGGGAAGAGGACATACACTTAGATCAACGTGATCCTGTTCCTGCAGGACGCGCGCGTGCCGCCGCTTTTCTGTCGACTGCCGCTTCCCTTATTGCATCTTTTCCTATCCGCAGCTCGATCGGTGGCTCGTTTGCATCGATCGCTCCCGCAAACTGCAGATCCGTTCTACGTGAATTGAGTTGTGAGCGCAAGTTGCTCCTCAAAGGCCACTCGCTCTCTTCCCGAGGCCGATTAAATCTTTATTTTGCAATCTTGGCGAATCAACTCGCAGAGAAGCGATTGGAAACCGTCAAGTCTTACTTTCGAAATATAATTTTATAAGGAAAGCAGTAAACATAAATTTAATATTTTTTTGAAAAAGATTAGTAGTTAAAATAACACAATCGATCCCATATGGCATATCTGCAGATATCTGATATTAAAATTTTGTATAAAAATTGAATAAAATAAACATTTTTAAGCTGTTATCGAAGAAATCTATCTATATATATAGAATATATCTAAATACAAGATATATTCGGGCCTGTGCGTCTACATATAATTCTTGTGTTTTTATAGAATTTCTGTATTACATTTATATCGACTGCAATCTTATCGATCCATTGACTTCGATACAACGGGAATACTCTCGTTCGTATCACAACGAACTGAAGACGGCGCCAGGACGGCGAACAGTGTTCGTAAAGGAGGAAAAAGTGCTGCTAAGTACCGACTAAAGGATTGTCAATACCCCTCGCGTCTTTTCCTTTACCCTCTACCCTTCTGTCGACGTCTCTCTCAACGGAAATGTAACTTTCCGGAGGAAGAAAGAGAAAACGAGAAAGAGATCGCAGAAGAGCGGATTCTTCGCTTTTTTTTTGCCTTCCGTCGTGTCATTCCTTCCTCCACAGCCTTTCTCCCCTATCGTTCTCCTTATCCTGTCGCCCTTTCCCTCCTCTCGAGATTAATTATTCGACCTTCTTCTCGCGTCATTACGCGCCGGCTGCAAATAATCAAGGGACTCGATTCGGACCTTTTTTTTTCGAAAAAGCGACCATCACTTAGCGCTTCGCTTGCGCGATCCTCGAGATGAGTCCTCGTTAAAACCGGCGAGAGAAGCTGGGAAGGACGGACCGAGGACCATAGTTGAAGCTTTTCGCGAGTTCAAATTGGTTTTATAAACGAAGAATGGATCGAAAGGAAATTGTTTGCTTTAAATTAAATATTAGTCGAACCAAATTTTATCACGCAATCATACGTGCCAACAAAAAATATAACTAGAAGTATATTATAATTTAATAAATCACGTTTATAAACAGATTACAAAACTAAACTTTAATCAACAAGTTATGTTTTACATGAAATGTAAATTGACTCAAATTTTACCATAAAAGTTTATCATAAAGAAGAAGCTATGTCTTCAATGTTACAATCGATATGTGCCTACCAAGTTATAGCTGCAGCGAGATCAATTCTTCGCGTGTGCGATTTCTTATTTCCGAAAAAAATAACACTTTTTGGATATTTCGGATACCTTTCATGAGCCGCGAGCGTGTCGACTGTGCCCGGATGGATGATCCATTTCTGATCAGAGGGAGACGGGAAAGGGGTACCAGCCCCGCGGGCGCGGTCCTATATGAATAATACATCGAGCCTCGCGCGTATCGACGCGTAGCGGGGAAAACTCGTACGTGTATATATGAGAGCCGGTTCTTGGCCTATTTTACAATTCCTTTGATACCGCGGTGCGCTCCGGTCTCCCTGTACCGAATGCTGGCGGCCGGCAAACGGAAGGACGGAAGTCACGTCCCGGTGCAATTTGCCTTGCGGTCTATCCGCGATTAGTCACCGCGGATTTTATTTCTACTCCGGTAACGAGAACGAGAGTGGGGGAGGAAATTGCATTTTAAATTCGGCATTTCCCTTTTATTAGCTTTTATATGTATTTTTTAGAGATTTTTCCGAAATCTATTTAAAAAACCAGAAATTATTACTTTATAATAATTTCTGGTTTTTCAAAGAGATTTCGAAAAAATCGCTAAAAAATATAAAAGCCTGCAGTAATTATAATTTTATAATTTATAATTTTATTATTTATAATTTTACGGGAGAGGGACCTTTCCAATCGCATTTCCTACTTTAAACGCAATCAATTTTCGACTTTAGAAGACGTAAAAGTTGAAGCGTATAGACTATCCCGCCGTTTTTTGCGGGATATTCCGCAATATTGGTATTTCAAAGGGGGAAACTTTACAAAGCTAGAAAACTACCGAGCTGTCAATAACTTTGCGGTGTTGAAAGATGATTATTCTAGACAAACACTGTCTAAACGAATGCACGCTCGTGGCGCGAGAGTTCGCCGGTGGACGCAACAAAAGCCGAAAGGATGACGAGGATTCTCGAGAGTTGCATTGCTACGTTCCATTTAAATACGCTCGCTAATTGCACGTACGCGCGCGGCGTAAACGGCCATTCACGGGAGGATTACGCGCTCGACGAGCAACACTCAAGGCGTTGATTATGCACACTTGTTTCGTGACGTCGTTAATTAGATGCTTTCGCGAGGAAAATGAGCACGGCCAGTTATCGTAAACGCGGATTCATTGCGAGTCCCCTTAAGAAATGATGTGAAAAGAAGTTGACAGTTTTGTACACTTAACATTTCGAAATTAATTAGACACCTGCCTGTACCTTTCGAACGCGATTGCAAATAAGTTCTTAACGCATTTAACATATGCATCAATTATCTCAGCTAATAATTATTATTAATAAAAATAATGAAAAATAACAGCTTTTTCGATACAAAATTAAGTCTCTAAATTGAGACTTATATTATTAATAAAAGAGCTGTGTAGGCTGTTATAAAATATTAACTTTAATCTTAAATATCTAAATATTTTTAATTTATGTATTTAGATTCTCATACAGAAAGCTGTTGAGATTTTCACACATCTTTGCATGCATTACAAAAATACTCAAGAAAACATTTTGCATCCTTTGCGATGAAAAAATTGCTGCTCACAAATGAACGAAGATAAAATATTTAGATCTCAATCTAATCGATGAGTTTAATATGAATCAAAGAATTTTTATTGTTTGATGGAATTTGAAGATTCCGAAAAAATAATTTGCTAACATAATTATTGTACACTGCTTGAAAAACTATGCTCTAAAGACTACAAAGCATTAAGTTTGTTCTCTGTAACTGTGAACTGGTGTATACTAGTGGTACTTAAAGTAAAATATATATTTGAAGTTTGGCGAAAGCGACGAAGAAAGTTTTAGTGCAGTCCAGTGCAACGGCAAAGAGCAGTCCTTTCATGTCGGGTCCAACATTGACATGGAGTAACAAAAGGTTAAAGGTCATTCCAATTTGCAAGTTGGAACATGTTAGAGAAAATGTTATCGCTGCTAAAAGTTATTCGCACGTTAGTTAATCGTGGGACGCGTCTATCGGCTACGTAAAAATCTTTAACTTTATTTCCCGTTCCTTCCGCCATTGGTAATCAGCGGGTAGGATGGTAATTAAGTACCAATCTCCGCGAGCAAACACTCGCTAAGAAATGGCGGCTATCTTTCAACGAAACAAATGGTTAATTGATGACTGTTTTCTTAAAGTGAGAAAAGCCTTCATAAATCTTAACGTTATGCATGGATAAAAAAAAATGAAGTTAATTACAATACATGTAATAGATGATTACATTAAAAGATTATGTCTCATTAATTTTAAATATTTTTATACTAATATGATTTTATTTGAACATTCTTTTACATCAGAATAATCTTCAGTCTTGACTGCGATATCTCAATGCTTTGGTTTCGCATCGCAGCCCGAGATACAATCGGGAATATTTTTATAATTAATATTGGAAGATTCGAGTGAGCCTGACCGGAAAAAAGAAACATTTATACGGACAGGCATTCCGGATATTAATAAATACCTTTTGTTTTTTAATTGGCCATGCAGAGAGAGAAAGAGAAAATTACATGGAGTGGAAATGAAATCTCGCAATTTTTATTCAATAGACAATTAGAGGAAGTGCACGCTTTTCATGGACGTACTTTACGAATACTTTGCTGTCGGGTAAATTGCCATTCGAAAATTTTATCTCATGTAATATAACATACATAGCGCGCGCGTGCCCAGCTGGAAAATCATTTAAACTTTCAACAATGAATATAACCCCCGTTATCAGCAGCAGCAAACACGTGCCTATTCTACATATTTAATACATTTACGTATATTTTCATTAGTACAAGAATATTTTGTATTTAATATTATTGTTGTTTTTTTACGATTCACACGTTTCTCTTTATTAACTCGCAGAATAATACGAGGTCATCCTGCATGAAAGAGTTAATGTAAATAAATTTTCTGCTATACGTACCGGGTTAAATGCGAGGGCGTTAATGAGCCTTTTGTGGATGAATTTGTTCCAGGATGTGCATTTAAC